GCAACAAAGACAAATGATCCAATATCTCAAGAGTTAGATCCACCAATAAAGAAACAAACAAAGTTCTTTTATCAAACACAGTTTTGTCCGATAATGCATGGCCTATATCTGCTTGTGTCATAAAGAGGACCCGATGATGTGTGCTGTGGTGAGGGTTGTCAAGTTTTACCCTAAATGAAATCAATAGCCGCAAGTGCACAGCTGATCGATTGTAGTACTTAGGGATCGAATCCACAGGGAAGGAGGATCTTTCTTGCAAAAGCCTTCGAAAGAAATATAAAGTAAGAAAGTCTAGAACCAAATGGTTTTGTGGGGGTTTTGGTGGTGTGTTTAAAATGTAAAAACGAATCTTAAAGAGAAGATACTGGAATTAAAATGACGTAATAACTAAAAATGAGAAAAACGGTTAACCTAATTGCTTAAATGAAAATCGATTAAAAAGGAATGAAAATATTGAACTAAAGCTTGAAATAAAACGGTGTGAATCTATAAGAAAGAAAGCGCTGGGGTTCAGGGAAGTTTTCTCAGGGGTACGAACGATTCAAAACATTGCTAGAGAGTAAATTTGATAAGATCTTAGCTTAAACTTTTCGAACTGGAGTCACGAACGTATGAATACGCCACTGTCGTGATCATAGACAATTATCTCTCTCAACCCTGACCAGTAGGTTTCCACTCTGGCACTGGAAAAGAAGAGATGCATTATGTTTAAGACTCGTCAGCAGTCACAAATCTCCCATAGGTAGGTTTCCACTCCTTTGTTTGTTTTGCTCTCCCAAACTAGATCTGACACCGGATGAACACTTTCGTGTCACCAAGCATCTGGATCAGATTGTAGTTCATGACGCTATTCTCATGCAGTAAAAACGTATTCAGAAGAAAAAGTTCTAAGATTCGGCTCAAAAGCTCAAGGAATCCTCACCGAACATATAAATCCCCATCGAAAATCCCTTAATCCCAACAATAAAACTACTCAGACATAATGAACGAAATCAAAAACATAGTATTAAAAAGTAGAATAGAAACCGAAATTGAAAAAGAAAGAACAAGGGTTCAAGAGACAAATCTCTCTCTCCCTAAAACCTAAAAACAAAGCTTAAAGCAAAATTTCTGTACAGTATTTCGTCTCTCTTCTTCTCTCTCTAAAAACGACCTAAATGACATGTATTTATAGTCTCTAATACTCTATGGTGTCTAGGGTTCCGGAATTGAGGCTGGAAAAATGATATGGGCTTTAGAAATGGGCCTTCGGGTTCGGATTTAGCTGGCCGCGGTCGGGAAGTGCGCGACCGCGGGGAATGGGTGGCTGGCCGCGGTCGGGATGGTTGTGACCGTGGGGATTGGTCTGTTGGCCGCGGGTGGAAACGCTTGCCGGCTGGTTTATGGGACATCTTGCTCTTCGCGTATCTTTTGATTGAACCGTTGGATTGCCAAGCTGTAAAGTGTGCTGGAAAGCTGATACTTCCATCTTTAAGATCTCCAAGTTTGAGCTGGATCAGACGGTGAGAAGGCCTTCAATCAGGGGTGAACTTCTGACGGTTTGATTCTGAGCTGAAATCTGGTTTTCTATCCATTTTGTTAAGCTTTTCCCTAAGTTACCTGAAAAGAGTCTTGGAACTACAAATACTAGAAAAACGTAATAAAGTACTTGAAAGCAATTAAAAACATAGAAAAAGTATTTCAGAATGATCCATAAAAGTGGTCAAAATACGGTGTTATCACCCGAGCCTAAATTTTATAAAGAAAAAAAAAAAGTTCCCTTTCAGTAAAACTGAGGACTGTGAATCTCTAAGGCATATATCAAGTGACATCAAATCAAGTGTACACCGATCCTCCTCATGTATTCTGTTAGGATCTAGAACATAAGTAAATGTAACAATAGAAGAAACTAACGACAGAACCATGTGTAAAAAAAAAAAGAGGAGGGAGGCGCATGTTATACAAAAGTTGTTATGAAATGTCTCAAGAATCTAGTAAACAAAAAACAGAGACAGCAGAACAGAATACACAAAGATTGTGCCATTAAACGTAGAGTGATGAGAATTCTGAATACTGGAGAATTCGAGCTTCGGGAAACAAACGATTATAATCCATCTAACCCATAAATTGTGTGCGCCTCTCAAGGTGTAAACCTTGACATGTCAAAATTGTAATAATCTTTTAGAAGAACATCAAACTATACATGTAAGTGAATAATAACGAAATACAAATGCAAGTAATCACGAAGAAAAGAAAGTCGTGGAGCCAACTTACTTTTAAGGAACAATAACGTTGTAACAAAAAAAAGGAATATGGACTTACGCTTACCCTTCAGGTTCACGATCAGGTTGAGGCAAGTGGAAGCTCAAAACGGGAACATCTGAATTAAAGAGAGAGAAAATTCAGACAAATTACTTGAAGCTTTGTAATTCAAACGATGAATCATTCAACTCGACTTTGCAGTATTAGCGATACATCTTAAAATAATAACCACGAAGTATAGAATTAGAATTTTTTAATACAAAACGATGCATCTCTAAAAAATATAAGCGATGCATCAAAAGTTGTCTAATTGTATAAAAAGTAAACCGAACGAATATAACAACATAGCAAATCGATTAGTCTACCTCTTGACATGTTGTCCATTGTATAAACCACCAACGAAGATAACCTAATCAAATCAGCATGGTGGAAGGTATATATTAATATAAGATTACAAAGTCAAATTAAAAGAAACAAATTCAAACACAAAACAGTGAAAAGAACATAACATAACTAAATATGTGCTCGGTCATGAAGATTGCTTTAAGGAAAACAATAAAAAAGTTTAGGTCAATTTATATTTACGAACAATAACTGATTACTCCAAAAAAATTATGAACACGAATATATAAAAAGATGTTTAGGAACAATAAAGAAGAGGAACACGATACGAGCATATATAGAGTAGAATAGATGCTTTAGTGTTTGGAGTTTTTAACAGATTCGGTGGCTATGATCGAGATTAAAACCGCTGGTCCATTAACAAATTCAATGGCCCATAATCGATGAAAAAAATCATGTCACACATATTGACACGTATGATTAATGATTGGCCTATCATAATTAATTAAAATGACACATATATAAATTTTAATAATGACACATAAGCAAATCGTTCTGGAGACGACACATAAGATTTTTGACTTCGCAAATAATAGTATAGATTTTGGACGGTATGTCGTAAGTGTTATTTTTCTTCATTTGTCAATTTAGTCAACACTTGGGGAAATTTCACATTTTTTTATTACATTTTCTTCGGTCTTCCGTTTTTTTTCCTGATTATTTTGCGAAATTGCATTTAATAACCATCAAGCAAATTCTAATTCACAAACTAACCAAAAAAAATCTGAATATGATATTTTCTATATATTATATATTAATACAATTTTACCCTTTTTTCTTTTTCTCATTTTTCTCTCTCTCTTTCCTTCCTCTTCTCTCTTTCTTTCCTCATCTCTCTTTCCTTCGTTCTCTCACGCAATGCTCCACAATTTTTTCTGCACCTACACCACTATCATTATCATCAACTTCACCAAAAAATCACAAAAAAAAAAAAATTAATTTCCACCAAATTATATGTTTCTCCCCTTTGATTCTCTTTCTCTCCTTCCACTTCATATATTTTTAAGATTCAAAGCATATAATTTTATTTTGAGTTGTGTCGCCAAGTCTCTTATCTGCAAGTGATGGAGTCGCTGCTGGTGGAATTTGAGTCTTTATTCTTCACTTGTTTTGTAAATGTGTATGGAAAGACTATTATTTTATAGAATATCTATATTCAGTGAACTTTTGATTAGATATAAATTATTCTTTCAAAACTGTGAACCTTTTTCTCAGTCAGTTATATTATAATATATGAAGTCTCTATATAGCATATATTATAGTATGACCAAATGAATTAAATAGCTCTCACAATTGTATTCCATTCTCAGCATTGAAACTTCCAAGAAATACATTAACATGATTATAGGTTGGATTCATTGGCTTCTTTGTCGCTTTGTAAAAAATAATAGAACGTCTATTTGTATATAATGTTTATTAGTATAGATCGACTATTTGTATAAACTGTTTTTTTCGGATGCTGATTTATAAAAGAAAAGCTTTTTCCATTTTGGCTTTGATGTTTTGCTTGTGCTGTTAACAGACACGCACAAAATTATGATCTTTAGTTATATCTGCAATGATAGATAAAATTATAAAGATCTCTAATTTTCAATTGTAACATTATTCAACAATTGATATGAAATATCGCAATAAAGCACCAATCTTTATGGAACACTAGATGAATGTCCGCGCTACGCGCGGATAGTTTTTGTAATTTATTGAACATTGTTTTAAATTCTGTATTTAATTATGTATTTTGGTTGAAAGTAATTTTTTATTAGTGAAAGCTGAAATGCAAGATTGTATTTTTAAACAAAATAACAGATTGTTTCTTTGGAACAGAAATAACTAATTGTAATTGTTAACATATTATTTGAGCCAATAGGACTTGTTAAAAATTTAGGCACGATGTTATTAAAGTTTCCTTTGTTTTAATTGAATTATCTCCTTTTTTAATCATTGAAAATAAACATACATTAATGTGTTTTGATGTGTACATGTCTTAAGTCGGTTTTCTTATGTTATTTCATATTTGTGTTCAAGCCTCCTGTCCTTTAATAACATCATTAATTTTGATCCGTTTTTTTTTTCAGTCAATTGGAGTATTTTTTTTGGTTTGTAATATCAACTAAGGTATTTAGCCATATCTTATATATCATTTAGAGTAACCAAAATGACAAGTTTTCAAAAGCGGAACATAGGTGTCAGCAAGCAGTGTATTCTCAAGCTGCACATCATGGCGTAATTGAAGCACAGAATAAAAAGTGAGGAGAAGTTATGGCGTCAGTTCATGTGGTGCAACATACGTAATTTATGAAATAAGGTTGGAAACGATCATTTGCTATCTCCCCACAAATAGCATCAACAGTGGCAGCTAAGGTAAATGATTTACAGTAAGATAAATATGTACAGTATCACACAATCGTAAACCAGGTCAGAACAACCAAACATCTAATTTCCAAATCTAAAACAAAGAATAACCAAGAAAACGTTGATAGTTTCTCCAATCACCACAGATGCCTTGCCAGGCACATAACTTTACTTTTTCAGCTTAATGAATATTGGGAAAGCCATATACATACCAAGGAGTGGCAGTAGTGGACACCGCAAATCGGCTGGTGGAAGAAGCACCTAGCGTGAGAAGATAAAGATTGTAAACAAAAACTTATACATAGGGATCAAAAATCAAAAGATATTAAAAATTGGACGTATAGGGATGGATCCAGCTCTAAGACTTGAGATGGAGAAAATGAAGGCTGTAAGTAGGAAAGAAAATGTGTCATATAGAAATCAACCTCTATAGTCTAGAGCACCACAATGACCAATAAAATGTGTTATTATCTCTTGGTTCTGTTTAACGATATATCTCATTGTTTTTTTAAAATGATTTCAATTTATCCATGATCAATATATTTTTATATATATGTATATATGTATATAGATGATAGATCTCATTGTTTCTTGGAAATGATATCAATATATCCATGATCAACTGGATCACAAAAGGTTACTAACTGTAAATATGAAAATGGAAAAGCTTGTTGAAGAAAATAATATCTTGTTGAATATGACCGTAGAAAAAAAGTTGTCCAAAAGTTGGAATGAAAATAAGAAACAGCTTACCGAGAAAGTCGATACGGTCAACAATCATACAACTCTGATATACGATAACAGCATTAAATCTTTTGATGTATCTTCCCCTCAAAGAATCATTATCTTCTCCGGCTGACTCTACTGGTGGTAGGTCTACTTCTTGGTACCATCATTTCGAACAAAGTGTTTTGCACATGCGATCACATTGTTTCTATCACAAGTAGTGAACTAATCCACGAGAAATGAAATCATAGCTGTTAAAAGACACATATGAAGCCATATACATACCCACCTGCAACAAAATGGTAACCGTTTGGGTGTTCTTCGGGTGGGACGCCTTTTACTCCCGAAACAAGCGAGCTGACCTCACAGACAAGTCCACCATCTTAACCATAACTGTCATAGCTTCGTTCCCATCTGGGATCTCTGTAGACCTTTAGGAAGAACAAAGTAACAAAATGTTCATCAAGTCAATAATTACAAGTCATGATGTTTCAATATCGTTATCGGAATTACGTATATAAAAGTGACTTACAGCCTCGTAGGAAGCAAACGCCCAGAGAACTCCACTCGCCCTTACTCCAAGTTCAGTTGCAGTTACGATTCTTCTGACCAAATCTGCGTCTCTACAGAGTTACGACAAGAACCACCAATGTTATCACATTAAGAGCAATCTACACGCAGCACGGCACCAATAGAAGAACCGATCTTAGACCAAAACAGATTCTAATCACAGCCACTTCAATACTACTACGACCCTGTAATCAGAAGCTAATTGAAGCAAAGTTAGGATTACAAGGTGGATCCAAATCAGGTTAGTAGGTTCGTTTGAATGTCCTATACAAGGCAAGGATCATCAGAAAAACAAAAACAGTAAAATTCAGCATAAACCATTACAATTATAGAGCTTAAACTATAAACAATACTGAATTATCGGATTGTAAAGGTTCTCAGACCTTAATTTCCAGGTTCAGTTCATGCAAATCTCGCTCAGCTGAAAGTAAAAGAGAAAGGTAATCAGGATTTAAAAAAAAACTGGTCGCTCCGAGTCGGATGTTGTGGGGAAAACGGTGGCCCCCAAACGCCTTTGACAATCGCCTTTAAACCTTGGAGCCTAAAAGCGGCATGGTCGTAAGCTCCGATGATCAATCTTGCCAACAATAAGCCTAGGACGAAGCAGAGCGAATGGAAAGCAAAATGAGAGGCGCGAGATCCAGAACGGCTGAGGCAGAGAATTTTAAAATTACCTTGATAGATTTATTGGCAATACTCAATGTGAAATAGACCTGTGTCATACTCAGTCTCTAAGAACAAAAATACCCGAGAATGATCTATATAAGCACCATAATCGTTGCATTTGTGGTGAACCCAGAAACGATGTTACAAGATTTCGTTGAAATGGATTATGAATGCCTAGAACACTTTACCAGCATAATCTCTTTCTTGAGTCTAAAGCCGCTTACCTTGCTTGTGGCTTCCATGGAAGAGAGGCAAAGTTGAGAAGACCCAATCTCCCACTCATTTGTATCAATATTTCTCCTGGTATATTTAAAGTACTAATGGTCAGATGAGAAAAGTAAAACGAATTGATTTTCGTATAAATGAGGGAAGGTTAGAAGAACAAACGCAGGAAAAGATTTAATGTGGAGAGGAAGACAAAAAGGCATGAGTAAAAGCGCGTGAACATCAAACTGTGAAAGAAGACACATGGCACTCTCACAGATGCTGACGTGTCGCAAAATTAGAGAGAATTGAGCACGTTTTATATTATAGATATAGACTGTCCATACTGGTTTACACTAATTCAAGTGAAGTTTTTTCAGGTTAGAGAATTGGAAACCCATATAAAATTGAGTTGGATAAAAAAAGGTCTATATTGGCCACATATAATTTCTCCAATTATAGTGAGAAACAAGTTATCAATCTCTAGGGAATGCAAACTCGAATGTAGCATACCACAACTATGTTTTAATCATTATACATCTTCGTATATATCTTTTCATTCATTATGTACTATTTTTTACATTGAATGAAATGTCTATAACAAAACTTAAATAATATGTCTATATTATGTTAGTGATTAGAGTTTCTATACTGACGTGATAGCAGTAGGCAATGTGTGAAACACGTCTACAAAACTTTCTCACGTCTACAAAAAACTTTCTCTTTTTTATTAACAATTTGTCAATCTTATTTGTAAGGATAATTTCGTCCAAAAAACATCGACAATGTTACTTGCTTAATTATAGGATATCTATGGCTATTTTCTTCATCCATCATTGGATTTTGGTTATTCACTTAATTAACCTTTGCGTAAATGGAAATTAGATCCTTTGTTATATGTTTTGGACTTTTTGTCGTAGTGTCGTATTGTAGTTGTTAATTTTCCTGTTTTGTCAACTTCGTCCACTTTTGTTATTTCTTACAATCTTGCAAATTGATAAATTTTACGTTTTTTTGTTAACTTAGTTTTGTGCTAATTGTTAATATATAATATCACACTAAGAGGTAAAACAGTAATATTCGAATCAAAAGTCTCATTTTATTAGAAAATAGTTCAGAAAAATACAACTTGAGTTAAAGTCGTCGTAGTTTCAACGACCTTGTTAACAAAGAGAGAACTCGAAAATAAAAGGATGATCTCAAAATTCTTCTAAGGTCTCTCTCTGCTTTTGATTTGCGGATGCCTCGAATGAAGTCCTCCCCTATTTATACGAATTTTAAAGCGGTTTGAGAAGAATTTTTCTTTTTCCTTCTCGATGTGGGATTTGACATTCTTCCTTTCCGATATTTTCGGAAATCCTCCGTAAAATTTGGAAAAATTGGCTAATTTCGAGAAATTGGGCTTTAATGGACTTCGTTGGATCCACCCGATTCAACCTTGGTACTAATTCTCGTAAACCGAAGTCTTTTCAAACCGGTTTCGATTGATACCGAGTTAAATTGGGGGTGCGAAGTATACTACCAACACTAAGTAAGTGTCTTAATCCTCTAAGAAAAACTAAGTTTTACTTTTCTTTTAGCAATTGATGGACATCAATAATGCTAAAATTAGTTTTGTCTTTCTTTTTCCTAATACCTTAATTTAAATTTATCCATAGCTAGATATTTAATTAATTGGTTAACCAAGGCTATCTACCTAACTCACTCTTTAGATAATTGTTATAGGGAAATGTATATTTTCTTCGACTTTGTAGTTTTAAGGAATTGTTGATATAAAAACAAAAGCATTAATCAAGAAACACATCATGTACTCTGTTTTTTGGTACAAATAATAAAATATAATGTATTTAATTCAACAATATTTTGGTCTAGTATAAGATTACCACACGCTTATTTGTAGATTGAACCGGCCTCACATTTGAATCTGAATCCTGCAAATTTATTTTGAAAACATATTATATTTTACATCTCAGATAATAATAAAAAGCTGTAAAATTCCAACAAGTATACATCGTCATTTAAAAAAAAAACTCACATCGTGAACGGCCACTCGGAGTAGTCTCATTTGGATTTTCGACACAGTTCTTACCTAAAAAAAACGAAAATAAAATATAAACAAAAAAAGATGATATAAATTTTCATAAAAGAGAGAGAAACACACAATATATATATATATGAATATATCACTTGGGAAATAAGAGTGAAGGAGTGGTTAAGTGATCCAACATATCTATAATATTTTCTGCTCCAATCTTAATCTTCTTTGGATCAATCAGTCCTATATTTTTCTTTGTTTTCATTTTGATCTGTAATCGCTAATAATTTATTTTCCAACTAACCAAAAATAAAATCAACGAAGACAATTAGTAAGAAAATAGAAGTTCCGCATAGGCAATGTCAAAATAGCACTTTCAAATTATCATGTGTGATAAGCTAATGAGTGATGAAATGATACTTGAATTATCTTATCATAGCTAGTGCCCAAAAAAACCATTCCATAAAAATACATAAGTTGGTCCAGTATCATCGAACACATGAGGTAAATAGACTAACTTTGTATGACTTCAAAATGTAATAAATAAGTTTATGACTTTTTTTTTTGAAAATATGTTAAATTATATTAAAAAAAAATCTGTTTTCTTTTACATACACTTTCTTAGAAAAAGATGAAAGAAATTTGGTTGCAGAAGCAGAAACAGAGTAACTGCAAAAAACAGAGCACAAGAATTTCCTATTAGTTGTCGAATCTTGACGCGTTTAGCCTCGAAAGCCAAACCAAATTTCCAAACCATCAATGTATCGGTTATCACCTCCTATGCGCAGTGAGCTCAAGCAATTCTGCACCGTTTTGTCTAAGACACCGATCAGCCTCCCCGCTGGATTTGGGGTGTCACCATGACGCCGTCCATTTCGTTCCCTCCATAAAACAGAAAGAGTACTTTGAAACACGTATCTTGCCAGATAGAGTGTTGTTTTCCCCAGACTGTTCCCTGTAAGAAGAGTTAACAGATCGTTCCAATTGTTGGTATATTGATTTTTCAGCAACCCCCTCGTAAGATTTCCCCATATCTGAGCTGAAAATGGGCATTCAAAAAACAGATGAGTTCTTGTCTCCAATGCTGCAGAGCAGAAGACGCATGTTGTAGATATCCCCAGACCCCATTGCGCCATGCGCTCTCCTGTGGATAGGAGATCCACCATTGCCAGCCAAGTTATAAAAGCAAACTTGGAGTAAAGTTCTGAAACCATACCAAATTACTCCAGGCTTTCCTCGGCGAATGGTGTCTAATGTTTTTCCAAGTTAACTTCGAGGAGAAACTAGAACCAAACAGACCATTTTTTGTCCTCTATAGCGCCTGATCATCTCCACCATTACTGCTCTCTTTAATTCGGATAATTTTGTCTTCAATGGTGTTAAGAACATCTCGGCGATGTCGTCGACGCCGCCTTCTCCGATTCCGCCATATCGAAACTAGAGAAGCTTGGATCGGGATTCCCAGCTCAATTATCCCACGAGCTCCAGTTATGTCAATGAGACGACCTAGAGAGCACCATTCATCAAACCAGAAAGAAGTCATTTCCCCATTGTTTACTTTCACTGAAAATAGTGTTCTCGCAACATCTCGAAGCTTTAGCAATTTACGCCATATCCAAGACCCCTGTCTCTGAATATCTGGAATCGACCAAAACGACTGACCTCGGAGGAGATAGCTTTGCTTTCTTAGACTTCAGACCAGGATAGCTTTGCTTTCTTAGAGCTAAGCGATGGTCCAGACCACAAGAATGAGCTGCAGAGTGCATCGATTTCACTGATACATCGCTTTGGAAGTTGGTAAGCCGACATCCAGAAGTTGGTGAGACCTGATATGATAGAACGCAAAAGTTGTAGCCGACCCGCATACAAAATATGACAGACCGTCCAAGAACCAATACGTTTTCGAATACCTTCCACTAAAGGAGCATAATCATCTCTCGTCATACTTTTAGTCAACAAGGGAGCCCCAAATAGCGAACAGGTAAGTTCCCAACAGTAATCGGGAATTGCTCGACGATGGGCTGTCGATTAGCGTCAGAAATACCAGCCATGAAAATGGTGGATTTCTCAAGACTAATCTTGAGTCCCGAGATAGCTGTGAATCGATCGAAAACCTCAAGAATGCCCCTTAGCGATTCCACTGTACCATCCGAGAAGACAATGATATCGTCAGACGAAACATAAATGTGTTAGCTGCAATTTTGAACAGTGTTTATGATACCCAAACCGTTTTTCTATCGCAGCACGGTCCAGTAATTGCGAGAGGACGTTCATACACAGAACAAACAGATACGGGGACAAAGCACAACCTTGTCTCAGTCCACGAGTACTCTGAAAATAGCCGTCAAGTTCACTGTTTACTTGCACCGAGAAAGACGCCGAGGTAACACACAACCGTATCCAGTGTATAAAGTGATCCGGCATTCCCAAAGCAGCGAGTACATTTAACAAAAAGCTCCATTGAACTGTGTCAAATGCCTTCGAAATGTCAATCATAATCGCACATCTAGATGGCCCTGAATCCTTGTGATAATCTTGCACAATCTCAGAAGCTAGCAATACATTTTCCACCAGCAAGCGGTCTTGGACAAAAGCAGACTGGTTCAAAGCTTTTAGACCCGGCAGAGTGGTCTTCAATCGATTTGCAAGATTTTCGAAATTATCTTGTAGAGGACGTTACAGCATGATATTGGCCGATAGTCTTTCATTGTTTTTGCATCATTCTTCTTAGGGATTAAAGCTAGAATGGTGGAATTGACACCTTTTGGAAAAAAACCCAGACGGAAAAAAGATTGTATCGCTGTGGTCACATCCCTTCCGATAATACTCCACGTGCCCTTGAAAAAATCGACTGTAAACCATCAGGTCCATGCGATTTGTCATTTGGCATAGATTGAACTACCTTGCTTATCTCCTCCTCCGTTACGTCTCGAATAAGAGCATCCTACTCTGTTAAAGAGCATCGTACATTCAACAGGTCTGCTAATTCCTCAACCCCAATTCCCTGAAAATCTGCAGGTGTGTTGGTTAAGAACTCTCTGAAATGGCGTTCTGCTTCAGCTTTGATTTCTTTGGGATCTTTTAACATTCGTC